AATACAAAAATTTTAAAGTTCAAATAATAAAATAAAGTAATGAAAAAATAAAATCAATAAATATAAAACACTATATCGTGTACAGTACTATTACAGTAATTAATAATAATCTATGTGAGTATATAAAAAAATATAATATATGTAGGGGGTCGCCACACTAAAAAGGTTGAGAAACGCTGCTATATAGTATATATCAGATAACAATCTGAAGAAAACAAAATTTTTCATCTGTTTCGACAGTATTCCACATATGTATGTTTTTCTTCATTTTTGAATATTAATTTTCATTTCTCTTGTTTAATTTTACTATATACAGTAGTTTTATTAACTATAAACAATTTAAAGTTTAAGTTCTTCTAATGTAATTGGCAAAAATATTTTTATATTATACAAAAGATTAAGAAAAATTTGTGCCAACATGTGTTTTCAGTGTCAAACTTAACATATTAAAATGTATATTCAGTAGTTCTAATTTTATGTTGTTAGCATAAATATTAGTATGAACTGGCCATATGTCAAACTTTAAGGTTAAAAATTAAGAGCATTATTTATGGCCTCTTGTTAGTTTTCATTATATATTAATTTTTAAGTAAATTATGAATAAACTATATTTATAAAAAAGGCTCAAAAGTTGCTTAAAAATCTTAAAAAAAAACTAACAACACAAAATTAGATCTGCTCTTATCAAATTTGGTTTATTGTATAATTTGTAAGACGAAGACAACACATGTAAGGGCGGTGTCCTCTTAATACGATATTTTTTAAAATAATATTTGTGTAAAAAGTGTTAATTTATAATATTTTTGTTTTTTCATCTCATTATAGTATTGTACATTTGTACTATTTGTCTTTTAGCCCATATTAACATATTATTATAAAGAACAATATAGTTTAATAATTACTCTTATCGTATGACTGACGTTACCAAATGTGTATACTATGTGTGGGACTGGCTTTTAATTCAAACATTAATGTTTTAGTTCTCCTGCTCAATATTTTATTTTGTGTGTTAATTTTATATTATTATTATTATTATTATACATTCCAGTCTTCCATGACTATATTAATTATATTATAATTTATTTGTATTAACTACATTATTATAATTTATATCCTCATAATCCAATTTTATGATGCTCATTATTTATTTACCATGAAAAAATAGATTAGAAATTATTATATAAAAATAAATAATCAATGTACCTTATAAACGAGTTTTATTTTATTTTTTATTATGAAAAAAATATTTACAATCTACCTATGCCACAAAGCATAATAAGCAAATTTGAAGATGAGGAGTAAGACCATCCGATGATAAAACCCAATGTTAATTTTTTTTTAAAATTAAATTATAATAGTTAGTTAACCATCTGTCATTTAGTAAATCTCAACACCATTTTCTTTTAGTACGGCTTGGGAGGTTTCTAGGAAGCGAATTGGATGCAAGTTCAGCAATTAAAGGATTAGAATGAAATTGTAGTTTAGAGTGAAATTTTTTTATATTTTATGGCTATTTGATTTACTGTTTCTATTTTAAAGTAATTTTGAAGTATGAAGTTTGATACTTATCATGCTGCAGAATAGATAATTTGGAGAGTGATGAATTAGAAGGCTTGGAGGATAGGTAGTAAGGATGGTTTTGCACATCCCCAGATTTGGATTTCTTAAGCCCTAATAAGGCCTTAATAGGGATTTGTAGATGGTAATTTTTGTATGGAGAGCTATATAGTTTTGATTTTGAAATTGATTGAAGTAAGTGAAGTCGACTATTAAGAATTTTCTTTTAAGATTTATTATGATGACTCCTAGTCAATCTTTTGTCAAGTATGATACAATGAGATATTTTACTCCTAAGGATATTGGGATTGGAATTCCTTAAAAACGATGTAGAAGAGGTATATAAATTGATTTATTTAGATTAATCTTAATTGTCTAATTGGATGACCACTCAGACTATTGAATCTTCTAAATGTGTTTCTAGAAAATGTACTGTTTCTACAGGATCATTGCCAGGTGAATGAATTCAATGTCATCTGCAAAGGTGGCCATAATAGTATCTGAAGTTTTAGAAATGTCAGTCGTATATACATTAAATAAATCGAGGATAAAGGTCGTTATCTTGGAGAACTCCAGCTTTGATTGGATAGTTAGACTATAGAGTTACCATACCAGCTTATATAAGTACGGTTTTCTAAATATGAACGAGTTCAAGTTATTAATTTGTATAGTGCAGGTAAAAGAATTTAAATTTAAACAGTAGACCCTCATGAGTTTTATTTTAATAACTTAAAAATTTTTTAAAAAAAAATGTGGTCATGTGCTGTGTGCAAAACAGCAGTGCCCATGACCGTATGTGTGTGTAATTCCATCCTTGTCTAGGGGAGTGCTAACCGTCTCTCCTTTTATACAACACAAATCTCATATGTAGTTTTCTGTTATATATACTAACAATTATGTTAGGAGCATAACACGTGAGAGCTAGTCAAGAATAAGCTTTTCAGATCACTCTATGTAATAAATGTGTTCCTGATGCAATGTTTCATTTAACGTCTAGATAGCGTTGTATGTATCAAAAACGTATAAAAGTTTTAGCTAAGACGAGCGCAATCATTTTGCTAATACCAAAATTGGCTAAACTATAATTTTATTAGTAATAAATAACGAATTTATTTACTTTTTATTTGATTATTATTTCCGTTCGATTCGTAAAGTGGAACATACCTAACCTATGTTTTATTCAATACGTAAAGGAGACATTTCGGTTGAAGGCGTGTTACGACGTATGAGTAGGAGGTAGGTATTATTTTATAGTATTAGTATAATCATAGACTAAATAATCAATATTATAATAAACGTATAAAGGCATACAATGACTGAAATTTGTCACACGATTAAATCAATATACTATTATACCAATTATAAAATAATAAGAATTAGAATATTGAATACCTATTTATACTTCAATAAGTGTTCAAAAATTAAATTAGTCTACAGACATGCAATTTACATATAAGTTTGAATAAGATGTAATTTATAATAAATATAAATTAGAGATTTATTTTAAATGTATAGATAATTTTTTAATTTTATTTGAAAACTTAAAAAAGTTTATTATAAATTTAATCTATTTAACTTGTTCATTTATAGTAAATTATTTGTTTTGAGTGGTTTTATTTCAAAAGATATATAAACTCGTGTAACATATTAGGTAGGCAATTATGTGCTAAAACGCATTTTCTATTTAAAATTATTTTACAATCTATGTAGTGTATCTACATAATTTGTATACTAATTTTTATCTTTTTCTTGCAAATTAATTTACTTTTTATTTTGTTGTACTTTTTCTCAGAATAGATTATTCAATGTGTGGTCAGCATTTCGTGCATAGAAATTATAATTATATTTATGGACTATGAGCACATATCATTGGATATTTTATTTAGATTGATTTAAAACATAGTAGCTTGGTCAAGTGTATACAGAATACATACTTGATTACCAAAGTTTTATTTAGATTATTTAGAATGAGCGTACCACACAGCCTACAATAAGTAATAAGCATAGATTTATTTTTTAACATCATTATGGCATTATATAATATATTTTTACAACTGATATTGGTATCAATTATTAGAAATAAATAATAACGAATGCATACCTAACATTTTATAATAAAGGATGATAAATATATGTTAACATGAAAGATGAAACAATAACATTATGAATACTTACTTTTGATACTAAAATGTAGTTGTTAACCAAATAAAAATAAATCACATTATTTAGTATTTTACTTTATCATCCTTATCCCTATTAAGATTTTCAATTTTTTTTTTCAAAAAGTATTTTTTCACTTGCATTGCTTTTCTACTATTGCATGTTGATGATTTTGCTCGCATTTTTAAGATAATAATTATTATTACATATAAATCATTAATAAAAAAAAAATAATTCTTTAAATTAACTCTAGAAATAAATACTACAAAAATAAAATTGGATTTATCATTAATTATTTGTAAAATATTAGTAATTATTACTCATTAGGGCCTTAAAGTTCATCATGCATTTGCATGTTTTTACTGAACACACCAAAACATTTCTAGATCACTGATCAACTAAAAATTTGAATTATATCTTTACAAATCCAAGTACAAAATTTTATTCAATGTATAATTGCATATTTCGAGTTTTTTTTTTTATTAGTTTGCATATTTTTAAATATTTAATTGTTAACTGTATATTAGAGTCAAACATTATATTATAGTTATCAAAATAAATTACTTCTTAAAGATCTATCAATAGATAAAATTTGAAATTTATTTATTATTGTGTTTGACAATGTGGCCTCATCAAACTGTAAAGTATTTAATTTTAAATTGTAATGTTTAAAAAAAGAATAGATATTTTTTTGAAAATGTAAATCGTTTTATAATTTTTTATTTCAATATTTAGATTTAATTTTAAATGTATAATAAAATAATATTTTTAATTACAAATTAACGAAATTTTTGTATTAAAAGGTAGATTTTTTTACTTATAATTATAAATTTAAAAAACAATTTATGGGTATAATATGACAGTGCATATATTAGTAAAAAAGTCACCACTGCCCAGTAAAATATACCATATAAATACATAAACGTGTAACATGTTTATAATTTAAATAATATGCTATAATACGCATTTTATTCAAAATATTATGCAAAATAAAATAATCATTATTTACTTCAACATAACATGATTTATATCCCAACATGATATAATCTATAGTTTTATTAATTTTAATATACAATAGACTACTGGACTTCTAACTAAAAACAATTGAATGTAATGGAGTTGTAATGCTGAGTAAAACCCATAAAATAAATTATGTATATTAATTAGTTAAATCAATTCTATACATTGATCATCATTCATCAGTCAAGACAATATAGTAAACTTTTTTTCATTTTAAATTTTTACATAACTTTATTCGTGGTTAAAATAAATAACAAATTGGATAATATTTAATTATTTTTAATTAGTCGAGATATTAGTTTGAAATTAACATCAAGTTATAGTTGTAAACTTTTTTTAAACAATGTTCCATGTACCCTAGAATAATTTTTTCCAAATTTAAAAATTGACTAACTTGCTGGCAATGTACAATGTTGGGTTAATACATTTGCCAGAAAAAATAAGTAAATAAATATACTCATAAATTGGTCTAAAAAAAAAAAAATATACAATAATATATAGTAATAATAATAATAATAATAATCAAAATATTTTATAGTTTTATACATATAAATGTTTCTATACACTTCTATAATGACAATTAATCGTAATAATTATAAATCAATAGTCCTACATAATTGTACACATACACTTATACAAATGATAAAATTTTCAATATAATATACTCAAAAAAATAGAATGTACAAATCAATGAACACTTAATTTAATAATAATCTATTATTCCCGTATCATTGGGAAACATATATTTTCGCAGTGATTAGCATCAGTCTGTTTTGGCCATTTTGGCTCGCAGTTTAGCATGAACTTGTAAAAATTCTGGTTTATCTTCATCTTTTTCTTTTGTATCAGTTTTTTCCATTTGCTACAAATCAAAATGAAACATAATATTAGTGTCACCAAATATTTCCAGCTTAAAATACTTATTTAAAATGTTTGAATATTGAATTCTTGTTTTGAAAGTAATTCATATAACTTATATGATTAATATTGCTTAATGCTTTACATTTTACTGACTTATCTTCATTTAATAAATGCTCATAAACAAATATTAAATATAATTTGTTTTGGAGGCTGGAATATATTTACATGGTAGACGATGTACATATAGTATCATTAAAGAGGAGGTTAAAGTATTGAACTTTCTAGATGGAAAAACCCTGAAATACCTCAAGAAAAGATTATATATTTATATCCGCTATGATCAACACTATTAGCTAATATTTCAACTTTCAGGTTATATTAAATTAAATCCACTGAATTTTTTTTATGGCAAGTTATTCGTTATAAACAAAAAAAATAGTTTTAATAGTTTTAAAGGGATAAAAGAGACTTACTGAATACGATCCAAAATTACGAAATTTTAGGATACCTTTTAATAACATTTTCACGAGAGAAAATCTTAATCAATACAAACTGCCGGTAAATCATAGTACGATTTGCGGTTAAGCCTCGATGTTTAGTGGTGTATATCGAATTTCTAAAGCAGTGTGACCCGGGTCAAATCATTATTATTATTTTTAAGAGTCTCGTGGTTTGGTGTATCTAATAGCTTAAAAAGTATGTCTATGCATCCATTTATGTATATTATTTACTCCTCCCTCCCAAGAAATTTTTCTACGGGTCCATTTATTTGTTCAATAATATTCATGTAATATAAAATAACAGAGCTATTCGGCTGTGTAACCGATGATTTTTCTATATCAAAAATTCTGAAAAATCTTTACATCAATAATAAGAAATAAGAATGCATCTTTTATTTTCACTATTTTTTATGCGGTTCGGCACCGATGAACGCAAAAATGACACCATCAATTTTCTATTGCCAACCTAAAATACTAACGAAAAGTTTTATGTTTATACTTAAAATATTTGTTTATCGAACATCGAAACATATATTTTATAATTGGGTTCAGGTATGTAACTGGTAATAAATATTTCATATGTATATATAATATATATTATACATAGATAATAGATCCTAAATATAATATACATAATCAGACCTACTTGTAGTCGGTATGTTGGTTCTAAATTTTAATACTCAAATACCGATATGTTTCAACTTATCATCAATGTATTAAAACGTACTTAAATTAAAATTATAACGTATTATATAGGTACACATTAATGTACGTGTTTTTGAAGTGTTGAATGGTACTTAAAAGTGAAGTGATTAAGCTTATGAGTTTTTTTATAGTTTGTGTATACAAATTAAGTAATAGCACACCCATAGAGACGTAATTAGAAAGGAATTTAGAATACTAAAATAAGCTCAAACTTCTAATAAAATTCAGTCATTGTTATTATAATTATATATTTGAAATATAAGTGATAAGTTTATTTGCTATTATTGAACAGTTAAGGTTTTAAATGTTACATATTGAATTATTGCATTCGTCGTGTGAAGAATTATATGAAGTATTTTTATATTTTTATGTCGTTTTAAAAATCACTATATATATAGTTTATATTGGTTATATTATATTTTTACACATTATATTATATTAAGTTATGTAAAAGGTTTCGTTTGTTGAAAATAAAATAAAATATTAAAATACCGTTTCAATTTTTTTTGCCCGTTCTTCTATCATTCGTTCGAATGGTGTGCGGCAAGAGTTTTTTTGTTGTTCAATCTCCTTTTGACTTTGTGTTCGCTTGTGTTTTTCTAGTGCCTTTTGCAGTTCTGATTTTTGTCCCAGAACATTTTTTCCGCTAAAATGTCAACAAATCTTATAAAAAAAATCAAAATATTTTAAACACCTAAAATATATACATTTTTTGGTTGAATAGGAGTTCTCGATGAAGGTTTTGATGGTCAGCGGAGGTCAGGCATGGGTTGGCCGGCTTCCGTGGTAGGATTAGTCCATCCTGGTGCATGTCTCTTGTGCAATCAGTCGCCATTGTCATATCTGAATAAAACAACACACAGTTATGGTTATAATTAATAACAGATAAAACACAGCAAAATGTGTTTTTATATTATTATATAATATAACTGTCACAATAGTTATTAATTATAAAAAAATACACACACTTTTAGTATGAAAAATAAATTCTACCGAACGTATGCAGAACAAATTTATAGTATTTACTATTTAGATAAATAAAACCGTTAAAGCTCTACGTTATTATAAAGTATCAAGTAAATATTGATTTATGACAAATAAAAACATTATTCGTTAGGTAACCTCATTATAAAAAATTTAGCTTTTAATATATTCACTGTATAAATGTATAAATCATACTTAATAGATCATCTTATACTATCTTTGAGGATACATTTTAAAAATTGAATATATTTGTATATTTTATACTGCAAATTACAATTTTGAGATGATAATATGGGTACTTAATATGATGTGATATAAAAAATTATAAAAATTATTGTTGTAATTTATTAGTATAAGTACGTCTATTTGATATACTTATCACTCATTTTTTTTTCAAATGTACAGAAATTAATTTTTTATCTTTTGTTAAGTTTTAGAAAATGAGATGAATAATGTGTTTTGTAAACAACGATATTCTAGTTATTATTTTTTTCAGAACATATGGACAGTAAAAAAATACTTTACTCTTGAAAATTATGAAATCAACAATAGGCTTATTAAATATATATTATGTTAAACAGTTAAATGGTAATTATCATAATTTCATTTAAAATTTTTAATAATACATAATTTTTACATAAGTATTTTAATAATATACGCAATTAGTCTACAATGAACTCACAATAACTTAAATGGATTTAATAAATCATTAAAACTAACACATTTTGTAAAATATGTTGGTTTATTTAACAATTAATCTACGTGTCAAAGATGTGATTTATGATATTTCTATAGCACATTAACCTAGTTTCTTTTGTCCTAAAATATATACTCATAAAATCAATAATTTTTCTGTGTCTGCTCAGAAGATAAAAGGTAGATTCTAACCAAAGTATATTTTAAATATTTAATCTTACATCAAAGACCATATGGAGTTAAATAATTTCCCTAACGCAAACCAGGTATCTAAACAATTTTTATAAACATAAAACTTATTGATATAGAACGATAATTTAAAATATAGCGTTATTATAATAAAATCCAGTATTGTGTCGATTAATGATTTGATTAGAGTATATTGCGGTTGTAGGAGTAAAAAAAACACTCCGTGCTTAACATTTGCTAACGCTTGCTACTTCATATTCTCGTGTCCTTCGTTCTTATTTTTTGAATTTATTATTTTGAGATCTGCTATAGTTCACGAATGATAAGAACTCTATTTTAAGTTGGCTCTTGTATAAAAGCTAACAATAGCAGTACGCGACCTTTTATGTAAAATGATTATTTGCCAGATTCATAACAGGCAAAATCGACACGTTTCTTGGTTTATAAAGGAGTTCGAAATCATAAAAAGGGCAAGAACAATAACTTAAATAATAAAAATAAAAATAAATTTAAAACGAACACATGTAAATTTTTTGTATGAGAATTAACTGACATAGGGACGAATTGAAAATAGAATTTATCAGTAATATACGTTTATATTTTCAATTAGTTATATTTAAAAACAAACTTAAATAATTATTTAGTAACTGTAGTTAATAAATTCAATTAAACTCAAATTATTATTTTTATAGCTAAATATAATTTATCAACCCTAAAATGTAACGATTTATAGAGTTTAGACGTTATTATGTCATAATTCATAAATTAAGAATATTTTGTAGTTATATATATATAGGAACTCATTACTCATCAATCATTAGTAATTATTAAAAAATAAGTGAGACGTAATTTATATAATTGTAATATAATATTATATATAAGACCATTAAACAATATGAGATTTATCAAAATATGACGCTGGTTATGTTAATATATTTCAGTGTCATAGCCACAAAGTAATAAGGAGGTAGCAATCCTCCTAAAAATGTCACTAAAATTTAAAAATGCTTTCAGTGTTCTGTGAACATATTACGTTAGACTAACTATATGTATTAAAATTGTAATTTGTATGGACATTTCTGAAAAAATTGAAAATATGGTTATAACATCAGCATATCAAACTTATGAGGGATTCTAGTAAGCCTTTTTTATACAAGAAATAATCAGCCTCCCTTAAAAAAAGCAAAATCGATAATTACGGTCACTGATATATTTGATATGCATTAAACATTATATATATATATATTTAATGTATCTATTAATATTATTTATTTAATTTATACACTTGAATACTTCTTAGATAGACCTTAGAGATATCTTTTTATCAATTATAATAGGTAATACGTAGTTTTTAATTAATGATAAAGTTTAGAAGGCATAAAATAAATTATTAAACGTAAATGATAAGTCTATACTTTTTTGTGTGAACAATTAAAATCAAACTTGACCAAACTTAACAAGTTACATGTGAACAAAAGTTTAACATTGGTTGAATGTATACGGTATAGTAAATACTATAGTCATTATAGTATAGTGTATAATATTACCCACTTGTTGCTCATTTAAAAATAACACATTTCCAAGTGTTGTGAGTTGTTAATTTTAATAATTTGTAAAAATTATTTATATATACAAGATATAAAGTATAATGATCCATACAAGTTTCAATTGTTTTTTATAATGGAATAGTTAATAAAATACATTCTACATTATGCTATGTTGAAGGGAGACATATTTTTTTTATATTCAAAAGGCTTATATTGAAGTAAAGAGAGAGGCTTGAAAGGAAAAAGATAAATAAAATTTCACAGAGAACCCTAGATCTACAGAAATAAAAATAATAAAATCGATTTAATTAAATTAAATGCAATCTATTTTATTAAAACAAAAATGTCAATCTGTATTCAATATTATAAAATAATTATAGCGAATGTGTAGTACACGAATAATACAGGATCAGAACACAGTGTAAATGAGGGAATCGACCAGTAACACAACTTTAAATACACGAGGATAAGTCCGCGGAATTGAGATTTTTTATGAAGTACTTAATATTGAGATTTTAATTGAAACGAATTGAAATTGACTAAAGTTTAGTATATTAATCAATTGTTTTAGTGCAAATAACAATACGGCTTAATTGAAAATTATATTAGGTATAATTTTTATTTCTTATAAAATATAAAATCTTTTAACTTTAATTTTCGATTTAAAAATGTTTTGCTACATCCTAATCATTAATTAGTAATCAAAATCACAATACGCACCAAATATTACAAGTATCTCTATTTATCAAAAGAATAGATATTTTACCAAATATGTACCATATTATATTAATTAACAAAGAACGTTTTTAAATGGTATTTAAGTCGTTTGTTGATAAAATAATTAAATATGTGACGGTATGACACATTTTTTCTTTCTGTAGTCACTAAAAGATTTAAGACTTAAGTGGCACAAACATATTTATGTTGTTCTGAAAATTTATTGTTAGAAAAATAATAATATAGGTTGATACCGTCATCGGCTTCAACGTGCACTACTTGTTGCTGTTTGATCGATCTATACATGTACTTAAGACTGTCACTTTAGGAAATGATGAAAATATTTTGCAGCATTTTTATCAGGATAGCATATAATGTACAAAATACGTACTATTATTTCATATAATCATATAAACTTCTGAGTGTATAAGAATTACCTATATGTTTATTATGTATTTATGTGTATATATCTATATTCTATACTAATGTTATTATGCGTGTGTGTGTGTGTGTGTGTATAAATAAAATAGGATACAAATACTAAACAACATTCAAGATTTTCGGTTTTCTAGGCTAAGATGTAAGGTTTGAAATTTATATAGACAGTCGCGACACGAAAAAATAATAACGGTTTAAACTATGCGGCCACTCCTCTTTCAAGAATAAAAATATAAAATAAGCACTTCTGCAATACGAGTGGAAATTATAATAGGGTATTACAGTTAACAGTTATTTAAGTCATTAAAGTAATTATTAAAAGATGTTATATACATAATATAATCAATAATAATTATTGATTATTTCTTTTTAAAATTCGGTAATTTTAATTTTTACCTCATATTAAGCGTAGATATATATTAGTATAATGCTAATAACATACATTTTATATTGTTAGTATTAATTAACCCTATGCCCCAATTATAATTTTTTTTCAGTCTAACATTTACACTTCTTAAATGTAAGTATATTTTAATTATTAATTATTAATTTCAAATATGTTTAAATTTGATATCTCAAATAAAATTCTAACCTTTGTATTTATAAAATACGACAGCCGTATCAGCATCTATTATTATCTTTTCAAATCTAACCTTTATAATAAAAGTGTATAAATACATTCATAATATGAATGAGTATATAAATAACGATGAAATAAATTGTATAAACATACAAAATATAATATGTAATCAAAGAATAAATCATAACATATCATTCCTTATAATTAAAAAATAATAATAATACTGTAATCACTTAGATGAATTGTACCTGTACAAGTAAATAAGTTTTACTGTACTCGATCTGTTCGAAGAAAATTGAACTTTAAAGGGTATTTTTCCGGATCATAATATGTCCGATGAAATATTGATAAGGTGGTACATGAATACAAGGTAGCTGTAAAACTGTGCATATAGTACGAAAAGTTGGAAAAAATAGCAATTTTATTGTTATTATGTTATTAATTATTGTTATTATTTTTAATATTATTATTTGATAGTGGATAATAAAACTATACCTATAAATGGAATTGTCGACAACAATTTATCGGAATTCATTCTACCAGACTCAAAAGTCAAGATACACGAAAAAATTATCAATTCCGTTATGCATATTTACAATTAATATACTTTTTGAATATACATAAATTTCACTCATGTGTTTCTGGCCAAAAAAAAAAAAAACTTTTACGCCGATATGAGAGAGTAGTGAACACACCACACAAAATAATACAATATTGCAGATTTAATATAAAATATATTATCGTAAAAAACTAGTCTTCTGCAAAAGGGAATACGCGTAATAACCGCCACTATAAGTTGACATCCCCTGGCCTTGGAACGACCTATGACGATGGGTCAAAACGCGCGAGGTCAAGAAACTCGTTCTTCTGAAATCCAATTAATACATGGGTAACTACTAACTACGTGTTAGTATATACCTTTCGAACGCAAAATACCATACAGGAAGTTTTCTCACGAATACACTGTACGCTCGTCAACCCAATCGATCGGATCATTCGTCTCGGTTATTGTTTTAAACGCGTACGTGCGATTCTCACGTGTTGATATTCTATTTGCAATGGCACTACACATTAATAATACGCCACAATCGCTACTTACTGCGATACGCAACGCAACACTACACCACACCGGGCGGCGCGGCGGAATCTTTTATTTTTTTATGAAATAAACGTTTGTTCGATTGCGTACGCTGTCGGGTACAATATGATTATAGTGGCACGGGCACAAGTCGGTCACGATCGTCCGAGTGACCTACAATCGCCGTCCTAGTGTCAAAGATAACGTGTTTACATTATTGTATATATTGTAGATTTTTCATTGTTCGGCACGTCCATTCTATATGTATATGGTATAACGTGCCTATAATGTAAATTATATATATATATGCATATCGAAATAAATCGGCGCAACAAATAGATTCCGTTTATGATTTACCGATGAATTACACAGAGAACCGGAAACTAAATCGATTGGCACACTGTATAACATATTATAATATTATAACGATCCCATTCATCTATTAAATTGTATTAATGAACAAAAAGAAACTACTCATTGTATATCAGCAAAAAAAAATGTACTAGAAACTGAAACGCATTCATTCACCCCGGCGAGCAAACGGAGTAGACTTTATGCATAACTCACGTTTCAACGTTTGTATATAAAAAAGTCGATTGGAAAGTCTTTCACTTAGATCACGATTATTTTATATAACGAACTATTAACATTTAAACAAATAAACATGATTGAGATTTTTTGTGAAGGTTTTTATTGTTTTAGTCTTTTATATTAACATTTAAGAAATGACATGTGTCATTAAATATATTTTAGACATTATTTGTAAACCAAGAAGGAAAAATAAATTATTATCAAATGAATCATAGAACAACAATAATTATTATACTTTAATTTTAATGTATTTTTAAAATAACCCTCGACTTTAGTTGCTAATTAATTTAGACTTACATACTCGTTTTATAGGTATTATTTATATTTATTTATACAATTATAAATTTAAAAAAAAATGTTAAAAAGTTTGTTAAATACGACAATAAAAGCGGTGTTAAAAGTTATTATTTTAGTATTATATTATTACTATATTATATCACTATAAATTAGAAGTATATAATATTATATTATGAAAAAATAATTTATAACGAAATCGACGCGACTTATCGTAATACGTACTACTTGTAAAAACAAAACTATAAACATACTCCGAGATAAAATTGTAACTATATAAAAAATAAGTAATTATGTCATATTATTAGCGCTAGTTTAATATGATGGTGTCATAAATCATAATTTATTTATTAAAAAATATCAAAGTTGGCTACTGTCATGAATTAAAGTTTATACAAAAGTTCAGTAATTAAACTATATTGTTAAATTTAAATTTGTGTTTACAATAAGTGTGTGAACACTTAAATATAAATATAATTTACTTTGAGATTAATCAGATTACATTTTTAACTACTACACACTGTATATGTAGATAACTATCAATAATTATTATTCTAAATTCCAGACATTTTTTTAAATATTATAACTAAAATAAATAGGGTATGATAATATAAACATTATTCATAGCTATAACGAAAATGAATTGAATAGTTTTAATAAATATATACTATAAAGTATAAAATATAGACGTAGGACGTTTATGAAAATATATATATAATCTTTATGCGAATGTAACCAAATACACTATACGTATACAGTGTAGTATAAAGTAATTAGGCGGTTAATAACAAAACATTGCAGGAGTTAGCAAGTAATACCTATAATGAATTATTTCGATAGGTTATAAGTTTATAACACAGTAGAATAATAAAATATTTTTTATTTATTGATTCAATAACCTGTTGCGGTTCTTGTATTCAATATACAAAAAGAAATATATTTTATTTGTACTATTTATTTATTTTTCAATCACTTATAATTATAAAATAAATTTGTAATTAATTGTCGCAATTTTATATTCGTCAAAATAGTATATGAATTAGAGGAGTGTAATACAATTTCATAATCTATTTATCCTACCGCAATATTTTACATGCTTATTTATCACAATTTTCTTTTGAAAATAAATTCATATTAAGTGATATTAGACAAAACATAAATAAAAAATAAAAGATAGTAATTATATGACAGTCAGATTCCGAACGAAAATGTTCGATATAAGTATATAACCAAATCAAATGAATCCATTTTTCCATCTCCCTCTCAAAATTATTTAGACATTATAAATTATACTATATAACACTGTATTTAAGCCAATAATTTACATTAAGATTTCTTTAGTTAGGATTTAAAAAAATTTAAATTGCAATTTTGGATTTTGAACGAAGTGATAAATGTATTTAAGTTTTGAATATTTTAAGTCAGATAGCTTGAACAATTGTTATCATAAGTTATTCTCACAGCAAGAAAAAAAAACCAAAAATACATAATCACAATATTTATTGTTTTATAAGCGTTTGAAAAAAAAAAAATAATTCATCAAAAGTAAAAAAATTGACAAATAATTTTGTTCTTAAAAAATAATAAAATTTTTGAACAAACTTTATTAATCTCGTTCGATCAGGATCGATTTTTGTATAAATAAATCTTCATTGAATTTAAATTCATCACATTCATTAGTAACTAATCATTGAGTAATAAAGCGAAATCGAAAACTACTTAACAGCAAACCGATTTTTCAAATTTTTTTCTATTGAGCTATAATAATTTTACTTAGACAATTTATTTATAACAATAGTCGTTGTTTACTTACTATTTAATTGATTGAGTTGATGTTTTTGCCCATCGAGACTCTTGTTATCTGTCTGAAAAAAAAATATCCATTAAAAACTCACTTAGTTTAGATTAAAACATACCCAATATGGATTAATTGAATTCATAAAATTTTAAGCGTTTCTAAAATTTTTTTATATATTTAATTTTATAAGTTAACTAAAATTAATTAATAAAAGTTTTGATTTAATATAATAATTTAGTTTGATATTTCAGTAGCAACCATCTATATAATACAAGATATTATGAAAATAAACATAACCTATTTTTATTTTTAAATGAGATATTTGTTGATCTCTGTGGTTTTGGATAGGTAATAAATGATAAAGTTATTTATTATCTATAAAATGTTAATACTCATTAATTAATAGGGTAATAAGTTTACCATACAGTAAATATAATATGTTAAATTCAAGCTACACCTCTATTAGCTTATTTCGGTGTTTCACATTATAAATATTTAATATATTTTACGTAAACAGTTTTTATTTTTATGAAAATAGTGAATATAAATTTTATACTTTTACAAGCTATAAATTATAAATAATATTTAACAATAACGTAACCATAGTGTAGATATGTGGTGACCGTTCTACAACACCTTCTGTATTTTAATATTTTCCTTAGTTTTAGTAATTATAACTTGAAATGAAAATTTTTTAATTTTTTTTATCATCATTATAAAACATATATTTTAAAGTTGTCAAGATAAATTATTTGGAATAATTTTTTTATGACAAATCTAAGAATTTTCGAAAGAATATGACGTTTATATCCTTTTTAGATATTAGTTAACTATAATGGTTATTGTTTTACTAATTACTAATTAGTAACTGCCACGAATGTATTGATAATAGTTGATTTTTGAAATCATAAAAAGAATATAACCAAGAAACGTGGTGTATAATTTTATTTAGATAAATACAAATTTTAAAGTAATAACTAATAAGTATTTTTTTTTTTATTTTATCAAATAATATAGTCTGTAAGTTACTTTAAACGATAGCATTTAAATTTAAGTTTATAAGCATCATGGTAAAAATAAATATGTATGGTTAAATTGTCTACTGAATAAAATCAGGGGATTAATTATTATTTATTTTTTCGTGGAGATGGGATTTATTTCAAGGAATATAATCAAGAATCAGGATTCAAGAAAGGTGTCGTTTACGAATGGTTGGAAATATTTTAGTGTGCGTTTTAATGATATTTTAAAGAACAGAAATGGAAAGTTCCAGTCAAGGGGTATTATATTTATTAATATAGTTTAGTCATAAACTCTCATAATTTTTAACTTATAAAACGTAGTGTTCAATACCTTTGCAACTCAAGTCCTTTAAAATATAATAGAATACATTTTATGTATTTAAATATTTCTACTGTTACTGAAATCTGTTAGATTTCAAGTGTGACCAATGTCATAACATTGGCAATCAGTATTACTTCATACAAATGTATATAATTATATTAATTATATAAACGATATCGACGTCTGTACATGTTTATATATTTGTATTATAATCTCTTAAATGTACCTACTGCAGATAATTGCTTTCCAAGAAAAAAAGCAATTATTATGATATTTAATTTTTTATTGGTATTTGACTAATTATTCATAACAATAAAAAACCGTAAATTAAATAACATAAATCTATAAATTGTGTATTAATTTGGAATTTTATCATTATAATGTTTTTAATGAGATAATTTTGTTATCTTGTCAGTTCTTATGAGAATATAACTCATAAATTAATAAAATAAATGTACATTATTTTATATGGAATCGTCATTTATTTACTTACAGGCTTGTCTATAAAATAAAGTAATAAATAAATAATAAAATATTCAATTTAGCCGTTTTAAATAATTTTATAGCTCATAATAAAAAGGTTTTGTAAAAATTGTTTAATTAGAAGAGTATAATAATTAATATTATCAATTTAGTAAACAAATAGCAAATATTAATCATGAAAATAAGTTTATATTTTTTGAAGATGATTTTTATTTTGTTAATAAATGGCTAATTTTTTTTCATAAATATAAAAAATAAATTCTGAAAAGCCATTGCTTCCTAATAAATTGTCATCTCTAAGTATTAATTATATGCTTACATTATTCATAAACATATGTATACGATTTTCCAAATGTTATAAGCAATAATAATAAACAGAAAATTCTTAATAGATACATTTGGTAAGATTATTGTAACAGGTGATTAAAACACGTATCTAAATGAGTATATGATGTGTTATTAAAATAAGACTTGTGCGTTAATACACATTATAGCTATTTAGGTAATAAAATAATAATACATATTATAATTCTATACTGGCAAATGGCTTTATTAAATTTAATGTTTTATTGTAGATATTAAATTGTGTGATACCTAGTGATTAAGTAATTTTAAAGATATAAAATAATAGTTGAATTTAAAAATAAAAATTTGAAAGTTGTCAGTTAAACATTATTTGATAGTACCTACCGGTCCATCTGGGTTTTAACGCGGAACCATTCAGGCAGGGCAAATGATTAAATTATAAATAATGAATAAAAAAAAAGAAAAAATAGAAGAGGGGCAAACTCCATGTATGCAAGACTTAACATTTTTTATTGTCTAAAACCCGTTTCATTACAGATCACAGTTTTTTATACGTATCTAGTTCTAAACAAAATCACACGTGATGAAGGGGGAAAAAACCATAACATCCGTTGCCTGTAGTGATAAGTTTAATAACAAAAGTAAAAGTAATGCAGTAGGGGAGAAAAACCGGATATTAAAATTGTAATAATAATATAATAGATATATTCGTGCATATGCAGCGAAATATTTACTACTCACGAAGATTAGATAACAATCGTTTATACATAATATAATCACTTACAATCTCACAATGTTCTTCTAAACATGTAACTATATTATTTATCCTTAAAAAAATAGTTAGATGACACTAATTTTTTTCTTGTCCGTTAAACAATATTATATAATACAGCTGATATACCAAGTATACAACCACAATTATTATTTGGTGTAGAATACGATTGCGGTACGGTAACTATAAGCAATACCTTTTCCATAACACAATTCTATACGTTTAATTAACTATATTTTTTTTGCGATGTTTCATGTAGCCAAATTTTACAAATTATATAATATTGTAATGTACAAAATTAATTTATACAATAAAAAAATACTTAACAGCACAGAAAGCTTCCATTAAATACTTAATAGTCAATTTATAATAATGTTCACACATCAACTCATAGTATTAGGTAGTATAAAATTTATTAATGGAGGAGATCCATATGTTGAAAGAATAGTAAAAATGTGTTCAATTTCATTATGTATAAAAATTAGTTCTATCCGATTGATAACACAATCAAAAATGTTTATGATGAAGTTAAACAGTTTTGCTTACCATTCATTATAGATACATAATATTTAACTTAGGTATTTGAAAAAAAATAATAAATAATTTTGAAGGTGATATTAAATATTATGTATACTTCAATACTTGTCAAAATAATATTAATAAAAATAATTTCGAATTTTTAGATACAATATACATTTATAGATTCAACGAAGTGACAAATATAATAAACTAATAACATTAAATCTTTAATGAATACAAATTAAAGTTTATATTTTTTATAGTTAATAATTGAGATTTCTAAAATCAAAATTATAAAGTATCTACTATACAGTTTAGACTATAGAGTGTAGACACCTACTTAATTAAATTTTAAAAACACGTTTTATCAGATACTTTTTCTCGTATACTTATGTATTTATTTATTTTTTTTTTGTGTCAATATCTAAAATTAAATTAAAATGATTACAGCAAAAATAGAAACTAATATTTTTAACATCGGTATTTAAAATATATGCATACCTATAATATTAATATTTTACATTAAAAATACCTAAATAAAAACAAAATACTCCAACACAAAAATCATTATTAATGGTTTTACAGAATATGAACAATATAGCTTTATAGAATGACAAATTCACCATAAAAATGCAAAAAACTTACCTTTACTGTAAACCTAATACGTTGTAATTATAAATAAAATATTAATTTATAATGCTTAATGAAAGAAAATTAATTTAATAATAAAATAAATAAATTTAAATTGAATTTTTAGTGTTTACAAGAATGATAATTTAGTTCGTACGTGGGATACCGCGTGAGCTACTCTCCTAGGCAAATACGTTTTAAAATGTGTTTCCTATAATTATTATTACGATGCAATTTTAAGTTTTCCAAGGTTGCTCTGCATTATCGAAGTCACACCCACATGTTTTCAACATAAGTAAACATCACTTGAACAGTATAAAGCCAACAAGCTATTGCAATATAATATATTATGATACATAATTATTGTTCTAGAGACAAGCAGATAAAATGCATTAATATCCGAAAGATTAAAAAACTTATCCAACAATCACTGCGACATAATACCATTCTCCCTAAATATTATACAACAAATAACATTAATAATTTGAATCATACACGTGCTGAAACGATAAAATATTTTCATACACTTTACTTCTAGGGTGATAATAATGATTATCGTCGGTCAATTAAAAAAAGGTTAATATGGTGTAAGAAGTCTATATTATTATACATCGTATAGAGTAAAGGGCACATAATTGTCTGCAATAATTTAGTGTAGGTAGTAGGTACTGTCGTAGGAACGTAAAAAATACTTAAGGAACAAATAATTTTCTAAAAGGTCGAAAATGAAAAGGTTGATACCTGTTTTTACATATTGTAATATTTAAAAATGTGTTATTAAAATTTTTAACAACAAGAAATGGGTAGGCACACTTGTTATTTTTTATAAAGCAGTAAAGAAAGACCCATTTAGAGATACCTATTTTATTTCCACTAACCTTGTCACCATGAACCGCCAACGTTGTAAAAACAATTAACACCCATTAGTCGTTTTGATTATAAACAATTAAATAATATACATTTTAAAATATTCTAATAAACAATAATATACGTGTGGGTAGAGGTACACGACA